CGGCACAGGGGGAAGCGGTGAGCCCAGCGCAGGGGCCGCGGAGCCCTGCCCCGTCCCCCCACCTCCTTGCCCGGGAGCCCCCCGCCCCGCCCGCGCAGCCCAGAGCAAAGAGATCCGCGCCCGCGCTGCAGCCGCTGGACAGGGGACGGCTCCTGACCTGGGCAGCGCCGCTCGCTCTCGCCTAGTCCCGGCTGCTTGCTGCGTCCCCAGCCGGCCCCGTCCTGCCACTGCCGCCGCCGCCACAGCCTTAGTAGTTCTGCCTGGGAAATGTCCCCGGGAGCTTTTATACGGGGTTCCGTCGCGCTTCCGGGGCCCTGCCCACGCCCCCTCATCTGCATGCCGGCCCCGCCCCCTCATCTGCATAAACAGCTGTTCGCCGTCTTCTGTGCCCTGGCCCGGGCCGCGGGGGTCACTCGGGCTGCCCCGCGCGCGCCGCGGCCCAGTGGAGCGGGGGGCCGGCAAGCCGCAGAGCTTCGGGCACCTCCACGCCAGCCTGGCCCCCGAGTGTGTGCACACCTCCGTGCCTCCAGAGACGCCCCGTGGACGGGACCTGCCGCCGCGGTCCCCGCGCCAGGTGCATGTGCGCGCCCGCGGGGCGGGGAAGGAGCCACGCAGGGGTCTGGCCCCTTGCTCCGAAAATGGCTGCGTGCGCTCCAGGACTGAGGAAGGACCTGGCTGCCCCCACGCAGCAGCACTCGGATCCAGCAGCCTCCTTTTTTTTTTCCTTTTCCCCTTCCACCTAGAGTCTCCCCTCCCAGTCAGACGTCAGTCAGGTTTTTAGGTAGCCTTTTACATCACCTCGAGCCATATCCAATGCCTTGTGCTCCGCTGAAACCAGAGCTGTCCTCTTGGTCATTCCAGGCGCAGCCAAATGTTGTACCATGACACTGGGATTTGGCAAAGGCAGCTGCCTAGCACATGCTGATGATCCCCATGTATGTGGTTTTAGCCTCAAACCTGTGCATTTTTAGCCTAGGGAATTCAGAGAGAGAGAAAAAAAAGTGTGTGTGTGTGTGTGTAAACCATTTTTTTCTCTCTCTCTCTCTCTATATATATTCTATTCATTTAAATCCCATCCGAATGTCTAAATCTCCTAGACTGCTTTGATCATCCTAGTGGATTGGATACATAGACATCTCTGATGGAAGAGACAAACTAGGCTGCCCTGGCTAAAAGGTCAAACTTCGGGAATCGAAGCGAAAAAATTACAAAAAAGCACCCCCAAAATGCGTGCCTGCTAGGTTCAGATCCACAGCTCGAGGGGGGGTTTCAATAGGACAGGTGCCAACGTGTGTCAAGGATCCGACGGATATAAGGGACTAGGTGTAAACGCTTGGGGATTGTGACATTTGTGGTCAGTGTTTGCGTAATCCGACACAAAGCTGGCATATACGCACTTGGCTCTGTTCTTTGCGACGCAGCATCGTTTCGGGGCCTGGAGAGCGGGAGAGAAAAGTAGGATCCAGCAGGCTCCAGGTGCTGCCTCCGGGATTTTGTAACTGCTACTGAGCCGGGACGCGATGCATTTTTGCAGAGGAAACGGAACTGAATAGGGGATGGGGAACGGGGGATTGCCCTAAAAAATAGCTTTCCACCTATTCGCTGACATGCTGCTACACCATTCTGCTCTTGCAGCTGTAGGAGCCGTGCACGAGTTGCACAGTTACACGCAGAAGCTGCTCTATGTTATCACCGTTTAGATAACAGAGGTAAAAGTTAGCAGGATCCAGGCACCGGATATGCGGTTTCTCAGCGCGATTGGGTGGAAAGGCAGCAAGGTCTGGATGATTGTCTTGGCCAGCAAAGTGGGAAGGGGGCATGACCCCCGCTTCCCATTCAAATCTGACAAGCTGGTGCTTGGGGCCAAAAATCGCCAGGGTCCCCGCCGGATCCGAGCACCCGATCAGTGCGGGAAGCGGTGATGCACCGGGGTGCCTCTGGGTCCAGACGATGCCCGTGCAACGCGAGCTCGCTATTCATTCGCCGGCATTTGGGAACTAGGGCTGCAAACCGGAGGGGTCCGGCAGGACAGGCAGATCCCTGACAGCGGAGGCAGAGGTGCCAATTCTCTCTCGCTCTTTTTCACAGCTGCTTACGCGCTGCAATGTGTCAGGGTCCGGGTCGGCTGGGTTTTTTGTTTGTTTTTTCTTTCTCTGTGGTAGCAAATACGCAGGGAGGTTCCGGATACCGATTTGGCTGGATCCAGCAGGATCCCCCCGGCTGAATCCGGGTGCCTGCAGCGCTCAAGTTCCGGCATGCATGAGATCGCGCTTTTTATGCGTTGCCTGGAGCAGCGGCGGCAAGTCCCTACCTTGAAGGGAACCGTCTGGAGAAGCCAAATACCAGCAGGATCCAGCAAGATCCAGCTTTTACCTCCCCCCCACCCCGCCCCCCTGAAGAGGCACAGGAGTTGCACGGGCATCGTCGGGGGGTGGGGGGGGATAGAGCTAGAGCCGCTCTTTCCATTGCACCAAACTCCCCCAGCCCGCATCACGCAGAGGCGCCCGTGCCCCATAGCGAGCTGCCCCACTGGTAAATGTCCCCCTGCCTTCTCTGCAGCCTGCCTCCCTCCAGGCCACGCGAGCAGGCAGCGCTGCGGTGCCCGCTGCGTGGCAGCGAACCCGCCGCACCCTCTTTAGGACCCGTGTTTCTCCCCACCCGACAGCCGAGCAGCGTGGGCGATACCGAGGGGCTCCTGCTTACGGACGGATCGGGAGACACCGGGGGGCACTCGTGCGGGGAGGCAGCTCGTGCGGTCCAGAGGGCAGAGGGGAGCGGGGCAGGCAAAGTGGGGTCGAACGCCTGGGCTCGGACTGACCCACACGTCACACACAGCAGCGGCGGGGAGATTCCGAGGGATTGTGACGCGCGCCGGGCTCCGCCAATCAGCGCCGGCTCCGCCGTCACGACTTCCCCGCCCCCTGCTGGCAGCGGGCCACTTGGAGAGGCGCGTTGGGGGAGGGGCCGTGCCAGTGGCTGAGACGCCCCCGGCCCCGGGGGGAGGTGCGCGCGCACGGTCTAGGAGCAGCCCCGGAGCCGCGGGGGGAGGGGCTGCCCTACATCCCCGAAGCCCCCCCAGCCGGCGCCGCTGCCTCTACTGCCCTAAGGCGAGCGTGCC